CCCCCAAAACCCCAAAACCCCAAAACCCCAGTAATATATAAAGTAATTGAAGAAGATAAAAGTTAATTAAATATGAGTTCATTTGTTGCAAATTCTCAACACAACAGTATTCTTAAAAGAAGAGCCATGCCAAATAATGGAATCTCTCTAGTCATGAAGACTCAAAAGGAACCTGCTGTACCTTTGAGAGCCCAAACAAGGTATCCTGGCAGTCCAAATCTTATGGAACCTGACAATGATCATGACAAGATTAAATTAAATTCACGTGATAGAAGGAGAGATCGATGCAGGAATACTACGAACCAAAAGAGATGCTTCAGTTTTGAAGAAAATATTACGAGAAGACATCAGACAGGAAATTTGACAGTGAAGCATATTAATCATGCTCAAGTATTGAACAAGTGCTATGGTATGAATCCCTTGGTCTTAATGAGCATATACTAGTAAAATTATATGTATCTTTATTTATCCTTTTAGTGGCTAATCTCATAGATCTTTTAAGGGTAAAATAATCCTAGCAAAAGCCTAAATTTTCACTAAAATCTTTGTTCTTAAAATAAATACTTAAGCAGTTGCTACCGTATAGATTTTATTTTCTTTAAAAGGAAATGGCAGGAAAAATAGCTCAGTCTTCATAAATTCTTCCTGATTTTTAATCAATTTTGTGGGGATTTTAGGATAATAATTAACTCAATAATTTAGAGCTAAGAGGTGGCTTCAGGAGTATCGTCAGAAGGTTTAACAGAGGAAAGCAAGGCTTTGTATCTCCAAGGTGACTACAGAAAACAATCCAAAAATTAAGACTATTTAACAAATCCCAGCTAGCTCAGAAGCGTACCTTGGTTAACTCTCATGCTCTACCAGTCTTATCAAATCTAAGGAAGAAAGTAAAAGCCAAACATTTTCCTGGAAGTGTAGCAAGGAGGGCTAAATCACCTACCTACATTAGGATTCATGATGAATCTAGACTTAGCAATGACTCTGATCAATTTGAAGATGGCATTCAAAGAGCAGTCTCTAGGCAAACACATGATCAAGGTAAGCTCACCTTGGAGCCAAGGTCGATTCACGAATTCATCAAGAAGTACGATGCAGAATTGAAAATGTTTGAGAAAACACTTAAGTTCAAGTAAAGATTTCTTAGCATCTTTTGAATTGTATGAGGACTAGGAGGTTATAGCTAGACTTATTCTCCTATTTATCCACATAATTAGGAAGGTCAATGTTATGAGGCATATCTGACTCGAGAGCTATACCCCTAGTTTTTCCTACTTCAAAGGACCAAGAAATCGGTTTAACTATTAATTTTAATAATATCTTCTTACACAAAAAATCCTGTAGTCACTAATTAGGTGTCCTGGCCTAGGTAATTTGCTATTGCTTTAATAAAACTTTCCTAGTCTGAAATATTCGTACTGGCTTCTAAAAAAAATTGTCTAATAATAAACTTTGGGTTATAAACTCTTCCGAATCGATTCTTTGTTCTACCATCCGACTGATTCCGAAAAGGACGAAGTTACTCATGTTCTATAATTGAGTTAGAGCTTTAGTGGTTGGCAAACATTATTAAAACATGTAAGGCCATCTCGAGCTTTTACTTTAGGAGTTCCAGGTAATTTATAGTTAAGTACCTCACCAAACAGGGCTGATTTATGTCTTCCATTTTAAAGAGTCTAGGAAAGGTACATAATGCGAATTTTGGATAAATTTTATCCTAATGAGGCCTGTTCTCAGCTTCATTGGTTATATTAAAAATACATGTTTTATCACTGATGGAAATAGCAAGAAATGGAGTATCTCAAAGGCGAGAAATATAGCAACCTTCATCAAAATTTGCAAAGACTTATATAATTCGAGAAGTATCACAGTCTTGAGAAGGTTTAAGAACTAAGATAATTTTGAAATCCCGGCCTATTAATGATATAAATTAGTTCCTATATCTAGATGAGGGTATAACTAGTTCACCTTAATTCTCTCTGTTTTAGGATAATAAAGGCGATAATTTTAGGTTAGAAATTAAAATGAAACTGTAAATTAAGTCCTGCTGAAGAATTTACCTTCGATTTGGTTTAAATAATTTATTTCATTTTTAAGAAAGAAATATTTAGCATAATTTTGATCTACCAAAAAGTGTTGCTTCTAGCTTAAATTTGGGCTATCCTAGCGATCATTCTTGCGAATAAATTAAGTCAGAGGCCTAAAATTAAACTCAGCAAGAACAAATTCCAATGCAATGCTGCTCTTTTTTAATTTCTTCTTTTATTACTAATCCATTGTTTTTCATCAGGAAAGAAGACCAAAACGGCTAGCTTCAGAATATCAAAGGTCTGGGATATATACCAGTTATTTAACTTGCTCCATATATATCGATGGATGAAAATTTCATGCTAAATTCCTCGAAATAGTCTAGTCACGCCTACTTTCATAGCAATTGAGTGGATCTACTTTTCTTAAGACCTTCAGCTCTGCAGCCATCACAAAGTAGCAAGGCCTTGTTTTTATTTTAAAATCACCTTCATGCAAAAGTAGGTGACATTAATAAAACCAACATGATTTGGAGGACCATTTTTAAAGATCTCCAGGTTCTTAAGCCATGAATTTCCGGTTCTATTGAGATTAAAAACATTTCTTAAGAAATCAACAAAGAAAAAATCTTTTATTTTCATCAATGAGTTATCTATAAATTTTGCCTTCTGCATCAATGTTTTCATACTAGAAGTCTTGAAAACTGGGATATGTAGCCAGACTTTACAGAAGTGTATAGAAAAGGAGGAGACTGGTAACTATCACCATGCTTTTAGGGATTTAGCCGCTGAATTCAGCTTTTATTTTAACTTCAAAAAGATGCCTAGTAAACTTCTTGTTTAAGGTTCAAAAATCGTTATATTCAACAACGATAAAAGAGGAGATTTTTTAGCTTTAGTGTACAAGAATTGTAGCATAACTGAGATTCATGCCTAACTTAATCTGCCAGTATTTCAAATACGTATCAAAAAGTCTGAAAGTGGCCTTCCAACTAATGACGGTGGCTTTAGGTACGAACAACCTTATTTGTGAGATTAGTAAACTGCTGACAAGACTTAGAAGGTTTTATCAGCAGTTATTTGTCAGTAGACCGAACAATAATTTGGAAATATCCTTAGAAATTTATATAAATTAGATGAAGTAAATATGCAAAGCTTTAAGTTTAGCATACTAAAAGTAGGCATTTCAGGTCATTAGCTTAATGATCAGGGCAAGCCAGTGATATATGCATAAATTTATATCATTCAAGCTAAAAGAGGTACTGATCACCTAATTCTAAGTGGCAATCCGCCCATTTTTGATATTTCATCGCTTTTTGTAAGATTATTTCAATTTCGCCAATGATTCATGGGGTTTTGGGGTTTTGGGGTTTTGGGGTTTTGGGGTTTTGGGGTTTTGGGG